TTATATATGAAACTTTTTTTGTTTTTTTTGCAGCGCGATAGAAAGTGTGGGAGAGAGTGTAAAAGATTCGAAAGGAGACATAGTGATGCCACATTTCTTGGGAGAATGTGGAGATTGTCCCAATTGCAAGTCCAAAAAATCCAATTTATGCCATAAATACCCTTTAAATTTTAGTGGATTATTGTTGGATGGAACATCAAGAAAAAAAATTATCACCATGTTAGTTGTTCAACATTATCAGAATACATAGTTCTTGATTAAAACTATGTTATTAAGGTTGATCCTAGGTTACCAATTGAACATGTTCCTTTTTTATGTTGTGCATTTACAACTGGTTTTGGAGCAACATGGAAAGATGTTAACATTGAAAAGGGTTCAACTGTTGCTGTCCTTGGTCTTGGAGGTGTTGGACTTGGTGTAAGTATATTCGATAGAACTAACGTTTACTGGTCATTTTTTAATCGAAAAATATTGATTCATATGAATTTTCTGAAGTTTCACATGTGAAATTTGATATTTTAGGTCAGTGACTATCTTTCAACTATGGAGGCAAAAGATTAGTTAGCTATATGTTTTGTGAATGTTATTAGTACATTCAAGGTTGTTCATTGGTCAGTTCAGTTTAGTTATCATTGCATAGGAATTTTCTAAAGTTTCACATATGAAATTTGATATTTTGTGATGATGACCATTTTCAATTATAATTATGAGTGTAAGTACATGCGATAGAAATAGCATTCAATGATCACTTTTCAATCTTATAATTAAGAAATAGTTATTATTATAAAGTTTCATTTTTCACAATCGAAAATCGAGGACATGCATGAAATTTTCACACTAGTGAAATTCAAAAGTTTATGATGTATAACGAGTAACGATTATTTTTTAATATACAGAAATTGAAAAGTGATAATTATTTATGAAGTTTACATGTACATATCGATTTATTTATAAGTCGATTTGATTTTCTATTATCTAATGCAATAGTAATATTACTTACTGATCACTTTTCGATCTTGTCTTTAAAAATACAGGTAGTAGAAGGAGCTAGACAAAAAGAAGCAGCTAAAATAATTGGGATGGATATACATGAAATGAAAAGTGAAAAAGCTTCAAAAACAAATTAAGCAGAAGTTGGTAGTGCAGAGATTAGTTGGTAAGGATGGTAATGCAAGGATATGGGTAATGTGGAGAATATTTTTGTTGTATGTTTGATTTGTTTCAAATATGCAATGTGAAATTTGAAGTGTGTGTTTACTTTTAAAATAAGTTAAGTTTATTTACTTCTAAACTATGCAATGTGTAATTGAAGTAGTTCTGAATGTCTAGACAATCATGTTTGTTATAAAATCAGTCACCACCAATTTTTTTTTTGGTATACTAGAGAAAACTTCAGAGCTTTTTTGTCTTTTTAGTTGCTTCAATGCATGTATTCTTATTCCACGTTTTATCCACATAAAACAAAATTCATAACTTATAAATGTATTATTTATGGCAACATAGAATAAAGCAACCAAATGGTGTATAATTTAAGGCCAAGTACATAAGCACCTCCAAAACTTGTTCGACACTTTCATTTTGACACCTGAACGGGGAGTAGCATCTACTGAACAATTGAATTCGAGCCAAAATGTGCCCATTAGACACAATTACACTTATTTTTAGTGTAAGTGGAACATCTTTGTTCTTTCATTTTCCTCCTCTCTCGCCCACCACCATCAAACACATTCCTCTTCCATCCCGCCACAATTGCCACCACCATAACCAGAAGAAAGCCCCTACTGAAATTTCTTTTCTTTACAAAATGTCTAATAATTCACTTTCTTCTTTCTTCTCAGCCAATTAAATGCTCTAGAAACCATCAAAAACGAAATCTAACCCCACTTGCAGACGTCAAATTCTTCCAAGAAAGCATCTCATGGTTATTCTCTAACTTGCTTGGATCTAGCGGTCGGATCCTCTATGACCTAAATTTAAGATTCGGGGATATGGATACGGGTGCGGAAATTCAGCTAAAAATAGAGTTATAAACCTAAATTATGAGATATTATGTGGAAAACTCGAGAAGAAAATAATGATCAAGAGGAGAATCTTGGAAGGAGATACAAGGAAAGGGGTGGCAATAGAAATTTATATATACAAGATATTTCATTTTCTTCAATTTCACCTTTATTTTGATTGCAGATATCATGAATCTGTCCAAAATTTCTCCCACGAATTTGGTCAAAGTATCCAATACCGGTTGACCAGATCGGGTATGGATCCCACACCCACGTCATGCCGACACGAGTGTGGCACTGAAAGTGAAAAGTCCGAGCAACTTAGGTTTTTTCTATTTCTAGCTTCATTCACCATTATTGAATCATCCTCTGAACTCACAAAATTTGTGGTTTTGCTAACTAGAAATTCTAAGACCCATATGGGGTTCACTCACAAGCACTAAACAACTTTTTTAACAGCTTGGTTTCTCAATCTATAGCAGCTAGAGTTCAGCTTAATGGATATTATTTGCGCTACGAGGTGGTTGGTATCAGACAATTGGGGGGGGGGGGGGAGAGGGGGTTTGTTGACATGTCTTTCTAATTGGCCTTGTTTGCCATGCCACGTGCATGATAGTCATGCACCACACATAATTTAGAATTATCAAATTTGTGTTCAAAAGTTACATTTTTCTACAACATAAAGTATTTAATAGATGCTACTTGTAGTTCAAGTGTCAAAATGAAAGTATTAGACAAGTTGGGTGTGTGTGTGTGTATTTGGCCATAATTTAATGTTGGTTTTCATGCAGGTATTATAATGCTTATACATCATCAAACAAGCCCTTAATGCTTATCCCCTACTTTAAAACAGTTGTGTCCAATATGCTCAAGTGCATACTAAATTACTCTTAGTATATTGGAGATTAACCGCTATATTAGAGAACTCCTCGTGTTAGATAATCCTTAAGTACAGACTACAGAGTATTGAAATTTTATAGACCAGATAAACCATTTATATTAAGTGAATACAGCTGACCCCAACTAGCTTGGAATTGAGGCGTAGATATTGTTACAAGCTCCTAATCAAATTACACAGAAAAATAATTCCGTGAAACAATTAGGAGAATGGTAAGGACACTTGCATCTCATGCAATTCCAACCCAAAATGACACGTAGCAGGTTCCAATATAGACTATGTTGCTCGAACTCTTTAAATATGTTGCTGCACACATATCGTATCCGTAAAAAAATGTACTAGTTCCAGACGAAACATACTCACACTCATCAACATTTTTTTTTGAAGAGTTTGAGCAATATCAGATATGGAAACACTCATTTCTTACTTTGACAAACAAAACAAAAGTCAACAAACAATCAAATTAACAGACACCCAGATCAAATGTAGACATCATCACTCAATAACTAATGAAATACTTATCATCTTTTAAAAAATAAAACAGCAAAATAAGAACAATAATTACTTGAAAACTCATCAAACAAAAATGTTGTTGCACCCGTATCATAACCATTAAAAATGTACTACTTTTGAACGATCCGACACACACCAAATCAACAAATACCCAGATCAAATTTAGATATCATCACTCAATTACTAACAAAATATCATCTCAAATGACACAACAACAGCATAGAGCAACAATTACTCAAAAAGTCAAAACACATACATGTTACAGATCGTATAAACCCTAGTAATCTTCTACAAGGTAAAACTAATCTCTGATCTAACCAAACAACAAACTAATATCTATATTGCTCAAACTCTTCAAAAATGTCCACAAGTGTGTATAGAATCCTCCAAAAGTAGTATATTTTTGCAGAATCCGATACGGGTGTGACAGTATTTTTGAAGAGTCCGAGTAACATAAAAGCAACAAAAATAAGTTTTATTTACCTTATCATTAAACGTATCGCCTGTGAGGGTAATAACTTCAGCTTTAGCGATGTATATCGAACTCAACAAAAAGATGCAACACAATAAGATACAGGAAAATGGATTCATATAGCGTTTCATTGCAGCCCAGATTTTGATTATTTTTTTTACTGAAAATTGCTCTGAATTTGAAGGAGATTTGGATGCCTGAATCGAATTTTGAAGACGATGGGGAAATTTTGAAAGGGGAAAAAGGGAGAAAGAAGGAAAGATAAAGGGTGTTTGGAGATATTTCTAAAAGTTTATGGATCATTTTGTCTTATAATGTTTCTTTTGTGGGTGAACTTCAATTTGAAGTTTGATCCCAAATATTGGAGGCGTTTGACTATGTTTCATTTTGTTACTGGAAAAATAATTGTTTTACGAACAAAAATTGAAATTGTGTTTGATCATGAAATAAATTAGAGTTGTTTTTTAAATTTTTGTTAGTTGTTTTTGAATTTTTTTTAAAAATTTATGAACAAACATGTTTTCATGACAAAACGTCATCTATTCGCTTTTCTTCTTAAAAAACTAACGTAAATAATGTCCACCTAAATTGAAAATAGCCAACAGATATATAATATATGTATGCAGTTTAAAAAAGTAAACAATGAATCTCACGAGTTATTTAAAGGAAAAAACATTTTTTAAGATACAAGATATGTAATTAATATAAGGTTTGACTAACATATTATATAGTTTAACATTATAATTTTTTAATTAATTTTTTGGCATTGTTGTGACACTTAAAGTTTATTAAAGAGGGTGATAGGTCGTCTCATTTAAATTATATTTGCAATGTATAAGAATTTACAAGTTTACTACTTTTAAATATGAGTCTAAAGTTGTAGATATTTTATATGAACTTCAGACGTTCAAGAATTTATGAGAATAATTCTTTTTCTTAAAAATAATTTGATATTTAAATTTTTTATATTTTTATGGTAAATAAATTTAAAGAGGTTTTACACGAAATAAACAACATACCATAAAATAGAAATTTAGAAACATATATAGCAAATACAAATTTATAACCTTGTTGAATTATAAACTCCTTGTGACATGAATGCACATGTAAGAATAATTTAGAAAGCTTCCATGCAATATAATTTCTCTTTGTCCTCATGAACATGATTATCACCAACAGGACTAGCAAATTGTAAAAATTCCTTGTCTTGTTCAAAAATGGACATTTGTTGTTGATTCAAGTTAATAAACACTTCAATTCCTTTATTTTGATCTTGTGTATTCATCAAATAAATCATATTGCTAAATGGTGTACTTGCTATGCTTGCTCTTGTAGGTCTCCCCCATCCAAAATCCAAATCTTGGAATGGAATGTTACATATACTACTACATCGATACACATCGTGACATGAACTCTTCTGACGATACGATTGGTCATCCTCTATTCCTGTATTTATTTTATTTGCGTATTCTAGCATCTCTGATATCCATTTGTTTTCTTTGAAATTGTCTCTGGTGGAAAGCTCGTGTTTAGACTTTCTTATATCGGCAACTAATTTTGGTAGCCTCAGGTCTTCTAGGTTATATATTGGTGTAGAGAAGGCGGTGAGAATGTTCCCGATTGTGGATGTTGATTTTATTGAAGGTGGAATTGTTTTTCGTAAATCGGATACTAAAACCATTTGAGATGAAGAATCATTACCATTTGATATGTTTGCACCAGCAATTGCTGCACATTTGTAAACAATTGCACTAACAACCTCAGTAGTTGTTGGATTTTGCACTATTGATGATGGATCATCAACTATCAATGCTTTGAGAGCTCTTATATTGGATTCAGATAAAAAAAACCTCTTTTCAAATTCGACACTTTCTTCTTCATTTGGCTCAACCACAACGGGGAACTTTAGTGGGCCGTCGGGTAGAGATGGCATTAATGAATCCTGAACATAATACGAAGGACATGATAATTCATCATTTGGATATTGTCGGGTTATTGTAGCCCAATCCTTCAAAAAGGAAAAGGCACTACGCGCATCACCCACCTTATGTGACATACACACACTTATTGACATTCCTCCACAATCAAAGTGGCTAAGCTGAGCTACGCTCAATCGGCCACCATCATTTGCATGAGGAACATTCTTCCAGGATAACCCTGGAGGAAATGTTAAGTCTGGGCGATGAACGACTTGATTCATTGAACAATTAACTTCAACTTCAAAGAACTCAGCCCCAGTGTCATCACAATGAATAGTTGCATTATCTCTTAAACTTCCAACCCATGGTTGATGATAAGTCAATGCTTTTGAAAATGAGTTTTCTAGAAGTTTAGAGAGTTGTTTTGGACCTTGTTCTAGTTGATGTTTTGGGTAAAATAGAACAAGGGGCATATAAAAATTACCCATACATTGATCAAGAAGTGAAAATTTGTGAATTTTTTGAGTTGATGGAGTAGGAGAAAAAGGTTTCACAACTTTCTTGGAGATTGTTGATAGCAATCTTGAAAAACTAGACATCTTTAGTTTTTTATTCTTTTTAAATGCAAAATTAAAATCTCACACTAATGAATTTTTCTTATTAGTATTTTGTTACTATATATAGATGCATTAGGAAAACAGTATTTAAATACTAGCCAAAAAAGTTTAAACAATTTTTTTCTCACTTTGGAATAAATGGTCAAATTTGGATTGACATATACTATATATATAATAATAATAAAACTCCTACTTTATTTATTTAGTCAAACAGCACCATTTGGAACTGTTCTAGCAATGTCAAAGATTCCAATCTTTATCAACAAATATTATCGATGCAATGTAATTGAGCTAAATTTAGACGGATCAAAATAAATATCGTCAAACTCTATTAAACATGGGTTAAAAATATGAATCACATCCCAAGTCGTTTAGCTCTTAATTTTTTTTTTCTTAATTTGTTTTATATACTTTGAGAGTTAGAGAAAAGTTAAGTAAATAAATTGTTCTTTATTATAGCTTTACATGATATATCAAATGAAAAAATATATTTTAAATTTGAACTTTTTGACAAGATTTATCATTAGTCAATTTAGGTTACATACTTAACTCAAATTATTTCAAACTCTTAAACGAGCTAACAAATCAAGATAAACTAGATTAATAATGGACAAATTAATACTTAAACGTATTGAAACGAACCATATTTTCTCAAACTAATTTTATCACCATAACATCAATTATTAATTATTTTTAAAAGAATGGAATAAATACATGAGCAGGGCACACATAACATTGCAAACTCCTAAAACAATATCTTTTTTTTTTGCCCATATTTTTTTCCCCCAATTTTGCATTGTGATAATATTATTTAAAAAAAACAGCAGGAAAGTCAAACTTCTTTGATATGATGAATATAAAATATTGAACAACTGATATCTGGTCTTAGTACATAATTACGTATCATGATTCATGCTAAGTTGCTAACTTTATGGTGTAACTTATTTTTTAAAATTATTTTTTCGTATTCAACGTGTATATAATTTAAACTCATTTGATAAATAATTTCCTTCAGTGTTAAAAAACATATATCATTGTGCTAATTTAATCGGTGCCAACATGTTACTATTTTAGTTTGTAGATTATAATATCAAATTTAATTAGTATTAAACTTTATGTATTATTAAAAATAAAATTCATATAATATTATAAAAGAAGTTATATATAGACAGTGTATCCAACTTAAATTCTAATAAGTCCCACAAATCAAATTACTATTATAGTGGTGTCTCAATTATAAAGAACATATATAATGGAATAATCAATGGCAACTTTCTTTATATGATTTTTTTCATTATCTTTTATCTATTTATTTTACTCTATTTTTTTAAAAAAAAGATATTTTTTATTAATAAAAACAAATAAATGGTCAGCTTTGGATTGCTATACTAGCTCTTAAAATTTCAAGTTAAAGGGCGGACCCATTTTGGCAATCTCAAAGTTTTTATTTATTTTTTATTTTTATAAATTTGATGTTCGTTATTCATTTGAAATTCGATTAATTTGAACCTCATAAAAAAGTTTCACCTTAAATATAAAATATATATATTTTTATTAAAGCAACTTCACTTTTTCAAAAATAATATTAACCTTTTATTTAGAAAAAACGGCTGTCAACTTTATTGTGTCAAACCCTTGCACTTAAAAGTAATTATTTTCTGCATGGCAATTTGGACTTTGACATAATTGTAATAATTAATTATAAGAAAGTGTTGAACACAGATTTGCTTATTGGAAAAAATAGCTGACAATTTCTTGAAGAAAATGAAAACAACTACTACTATAATATATTTGTAAAAAATACACTTTATGATTTTATGTCCGTACGACGAGAGAAGTCTCAACTTGAGTCGAGAATCTATTTGAGTCATAAAAAGATAAAATTAACATAAATAAATCATATTTTTAAGATGCAACTAACACAGGTTTAGTGCAACTTTTCTTTTTCATTTTGATGAAAAATCTAATTAAACAACAGACCTTAATCTATTAACGTCTAAATTATAACGTAAAATAAAAGTTTTTCTTATAAACTTTGGAAGTTTTTCTTCATAAAAAAAACTAAATAACTCAAAATTTTCAGTAAAAAAATATTGAATTTTTTAGTTTCTAAAATAGGAAAATACAACTAAGTACACAGTTTTAACCTAAATAATATCATGGCAAAGAGAATACTAACGTAAAATCCCTAATGCTTATTAGATAAGTTAGAAATTTTAGTTGCAGTATTTTCTGTTTCTTTATAGTTTCTTCATTTCTTAATTTTTCTGATCTTTTTACTTCTCATTTCATGTTTCATTTTTATTTGACAAGAAAAAAAATTCTAAATTTAATATATAACTAGTGAAAATGTTCGCGCTTCGCGCGATGAGAAAAAAATAATTAAAAATATTTTAATAAATCATTTCTTATATCTGAAAATCAAAAAATATTTTAAGAATCATTTCTAATTTTCAAATTCAAATAGATTTAAGTTTTAAGTTCTAGTTATTATTAAATACAATTTAAGCAATGTAATAATAACTGTTGAAATAATTCAACATAGTGTGAATTTTTTTGCTATTGATTAGAATCGTAATTTAAAATAGTAAATATTTTCTTTTAATTGAATCATAATCGTTTTGCTGAATTGTTGATGCACTTGAAAGAAAATGGATCATACAGTATTAAATATATTATATGATGTGTTTGATTTTTTGAACAAAATGAAAAGAACACAAATGGTCATCGGGCTAAAGGTTTATTGTAGCAAAGTCGTAGAAGTAAATTTTGTATAAAAAATATAACTTTTAAATATTTATCATACATAATATTCATCGAAAATTCATCTATTCAGTGTAGAAAATTGGAAATAAATTGCAACACAAGATAAAAGAAAATTTTTAAATTTGTATTGCAATTAAACACAAACATTAATTTTTTTTATTAATCATTATTAAGTACTATGATTGAAGATTGATATCTCAATTTAATAAAATATAAAGATGGAAGATAAAAGACTGATGTAGAACCTCACTTTGGTCAGGATTATCATTTATCCTCTCTTTTTTTTGAAATTTTTTACTATCTTTTGATTTGTAAAATCTGCAAAAAAAAAATAAAAAAAATATATATATTTATTTCTCTCCTCACCATTATTACAATTTATTAAATAGTAAATATTTTTCACCTCTCCTCATCATTACTACTACTACAGTTTACTTTTTTCCACCTTCTATTTTTATAGTTTTTGAAAATAAAAATTCTTGTTGATCTCTCATCATTATTACCATAATTAATATTTCTTATTCAAAAAATTCTCTTTTTCGTTAATTGTTTTCTTTCCTTTGATTTATAATTTCTTTTTTAAAAAATAGATCTTAAATATTTTATTTATCTTTCTCTGCATTATTGGTACAATTTATTATAATTACTTTTTTGTTTTTTCTCGTTGTTGCTATAAGACATTTTTTTAATTCCCCTTTTGTTGTCTAAAGAAAATCTTATTTATTTCTTCTCCTTATTATCACTATTATTAATTTATTATTATTATTATTTAAATAAATCCTTTTCTTTTCTTTTAATTTTTTCTCTTGATATATATATATATATATAAAGAAAGCTCGGGCGCTGCCCGGGCCCAACATTAATAAAGTTATATTGTTACTCTCTCCGTCCCATATTAGATGAGAATCTTACTAAAAATATTTTTTTCATATTATTTGAGCACTTATTAAATTAGGATAGAATTAATTAATTCTTTTCCATTTTACCCCTACAATTAATATGACCATTCCTATATTGTATGTGTATGTTTTGTAACTCATTTCAATGTGCATTGATATAAACAAAGGGCAAAATGGTGACCTTTTTCAATTTATTAATGATTTCTTAATCACCGTGTAAAGTTGGAAGTGCCCATCTAATATGGGATGGAGGGAGTATAGTTTATGTATTGTTATAAAATTAGTAAAGATTGTTATAATATATTTTGCTCATAAGTGAGCTAATCTAGAAACTTATTTGTCATTTGTCTTTTTAATTTCAATTTCAATTTTAAATAGCAAATAAATGTAGCGATAAGATTGAGGGTAGAAATGAAGCATATCTTTGTAAATTTAAGTAAAAATAAACAGAGTAGAAGTAACATTAGGGTTATCGATAGGACGGTTCATTCGGTTATTTTTAAAAAAATTATATCATTCAATTTTTCGGCTATTTTATAATGTATAACCAAAATTAAAATTTTAAAATCATCCGAATCCTAATTTATGTGACACAAGCAGTACAAAAATTAGTCTTTTTTTTGTTGTCTTGTAGATATTTTAAGTTATTATTTATTGTAAATTATAGTACTTTTTATTAAAGTTTTTAATAGCATATGTTACTTTTTATGTTTGAGAGTTAAACCAACTTTTTTTTATATGTACTTACAGACTACCCAATCTACATTCTTCCATACCTGCACATAACACCTCTGCTCCACATCACTCTCTCACCTCATTTTTGTCTCACCATGACCATGTTTGTTTCACCACTATTTGTTCTGATAGTCAGCAGTTGGTAAATACCATCTCACTTGATTATGAACCTAATTCATATGAAGAAGTTGTGTTGCATCCTACCCGGCAACATGCCATGACACAAGAATTTGAAGCCTTGTATGCAAATGACACTTGGGACCTGGTCCCATTACCTAGAGGGGAAAATGTTATTGGCTGTAAATGGGTGTACAAAGTCAAACATAAGGCAGATGGTAGTGTGAAAAAATTCAAAGGCTAGATTGGTAGTAAAAGGGTACACACAGCAGGATGGAGTAGACTATACTGAAACATTCTCACATGTGGTTAAAATGACTACTGTTAGGACACTTATTTCCTTGGTTGTTATGAAGGGTTGGATATATAAAGGAGAATCATAAGCATGCTATTGTGGCATGCCTCTTTGATCAGGAAGTATATTTATTTATTTTTTCAATTTTTTGAATTTTATTTCAATTTTTAATCAAAAAATTTTAAATAAATATTAAATATGAAAGAGAAATGTTAGTGTCTTTAAAAACTTCTTGCTCAAATGTTGCCATTTATAAAATGCCACATTCCAATTAAATCTCTTACGTCTTAATTACACATCAAATTCATAAAAATTAAAACGGTTCTTTTTACTCTATTATTTTTGCATTAATTTCCTATCTTTTTTCCTTCTTTTTTATATAATGATAACATAATAATATATTAATATTTTTTATGGGAAAAAAAAATTTTGGTCAGAATTTGGCCAGAATGATATTTTATCTATGTTATTTTACCTTTTAAAACATTTTTACCCTTTTAACTTTAATATCCTTTAACTAAAAAATAGAAAAAAGATCTGTTTATTTTTTTAAAAATAAAATATTATAGTTTTTTTAATTTTCTGGCCAATTTATCCAAATTTTCTGGCTATTTAGCACTTCCCTTTTTTAGGTATAAAAAATCAGCCCACATAATAGTAATATATCATGACTTTATTATTGATTTTTAATTCTTCAATAAATTGAATAATTAATGGATAGTGACGGTCTATGTTTCTTCATCTTTCCCCTTCCTATAACCCCTGTATATTCAACAATTACTCTTACATTTACTTTTTGCATTAAATCTTGGGAGCAATGATCTTTGAGTAATATTTTGCATATATATACTTTTCATTTCTTTTCAACAATAGTGTATGTTATGACGATTAATAACATAGTGTATATGTTATGCTGATTAATAAAAGAAAAGGTAATGCAAATAGAGAGTCGATTATATAGGTATGTCCACTTTTAATTAATTTATTTTTTGATGAGGGAGGATGAGACGATTATATAGGTACGTAATTCTTCTGTTCAATTTTAATTAATTTATTTTTGCATGAGGGAGGATGTTTTTATGATGATATGAAAAATTTGATTAATATCAAATAGAATTTGATTAATAGCTATTTGATATATTTTTTTCTTGTGATATGTCGTGGATATTTATAGAATATTACACCATTTGAGCAAGAAGTTTTATAGGTACATAATTCTTTTGTCCACTTTTAATTAATTTATTTTTAGATGAGGGAGGACACTTTTATGATGATATGAAAAATTTGATTAATATCAAATAGAATTTGAATAACATCTATTTGATTTTTTTTTCTTGTGATATGTCGTGGATATTAAATTTACATATATAGACAAGCATATAATAGTTGAAATTAAATTTTAAATAGGTGACTTATTTATAATTATGGTTATGAGTTTTGTGCTTTTTTAATTATTTTTTTGTTATGATGAATTTTGAGTGATAGCCATTTAATATCATCTATTTTTTCTTCTGGAATAGGAACAAATGATTCTAAACTTTTGGCTTGCTTTTGATGTCATGCTAATTTGAGTGATATTGTGGTCATTTTAGAATTGTTCACAAAAAAATTAAATATGAGAAAAACAATTGCTATATTTAATTGCCGTTTAGTCATGTTTTATTGTAAAAATAGAAAAAAAAATTATTGTCAAAGTGAAACGCCACCTTATTTTATTTTAACAAGTAGCTAACTATAATTACAGTTATTTATGTGTTTAAAATTAATTTAACATTAAGAATCTCAAATGTTTAAAAAGATTTGTCTAAAAGAGATGTTAAATCACTTCTCCATTAATTAATTTATAGATATTGACAGTTATTTCATATATAATATATCGATACAAATAATTATTCAAGAGTTAATCTGATATGCTGAATTTATAGGATAGAATAATGGGACATTGATATAATAACAAAATTAATTTTTAAAAATCAAAAGTATTAAAAAAAAGTTCAGTAAATGAAGGGATTTATTTGATTAATGGGATGATATATGGAATCCAGTACTTTGTAAAGTATGACTGCAACGAAGGAAGAAAAAATAGAATAAGATTCAGCATTGTATGTTTCTATATTGACACTTATATTTATTTGTTGTTTTTTTTAATTAAGATATTTTTAATTATGATATTAGTTTATGGATAGTGAATTACATTTGTTCATGTTTGTAGATAGAAAAATGTACAAAGCAATAGTAAATTAAAGTAGACATCATGTTTAATATTTTCAAATTTTATTTACTTTTATGTCCGCGCGAAGCGCGGATAAATTTACTAGTTATATAATAAATAACTAAATTGTCCTTAAATGAAATGTTAATGCCCAGAAGCACATGTGTCGACCAATTGGTGTGTGCTTCTAGCCCCTAGATGGTAGTATTTATCTTCAATAATAGTTAATGAATTTGAATAGAAGATAAATATCTACTCAATTTTTATCATTATCTCACTTATCTTTAATTTGAATTTGAGTTGAGAAATAAATCGAAGATGAATATCTTTTTAATTCTTTATCATTTATGTTGTACAAGTAACATTTATTTAAACATTAATATTGTACAAGTAACATCATTCAAGTAACCTATTACACCAACTTTGAATTTTTTTAATTAAATGTTTACCTAATGCAATTTGACTTTGTATAACTATATATCACATCATAATACATGTTTATTCACTATTTAATGTCTATTTTACTTGATTATTATATTAAAAATAAATATCTATATTAACTTATTCAGTTTGAAAAATTAAGAAATATTTTTTTATTCTATACCTATTTTACCCTACTTATTTCAATTCATTCCCCAACATTTAGATAATACTAATAATTCGTGATGATAGAAAAATACTCTTAGTGCAAAGGCAAATATTTTTAAAAAAAAATTATGGGAGGAAAGAAAGGAACAAAAAAAAAAAACCAACCAAATCTATTAGCCAAACATGTGCCTAAAATACATGAAATTGTGGTTATTGTTACATAAAAAAATGATGGATGACTAAAAAAGAGTTAGACACCACATATTAAAGCTATATATAATTGTCCTTTATTCTTCTTATGGTTTCCAAATCCCAGTTACTATTTACAAGGCATTTTCCTATGATAAAAAATCTACATATTTTTTCTACTTGACATTATTTTTGAGTGGGAAAAAAATGGCTGAATCTACGAGTACAACGACGAAGCTTGAAGAACAATTAATGGATAGAGAGGAAGAGAAAGGTGATGAGAAACTAAGAGAAACGTTTCTAGTAGAGCTGAATCTTGTTCTTGTTCTCTCATTTTTTTCGTTATCATCTGAAGAACGAAAATTAGAGGAATTTGAGATCGATAATAATAAAGATCATCAAGAACACAACATTATTTCTAAAGTTAATTCCAAGAAACGCGGAGGAATCAATAAATATAGAGCTACTGAACATGAATTTCCCAGGTTTCAAACCAAGATTAAGGATTGCAGGTAAGATTTTCACAAATAATGATGGTGTTTGTGCGCCTTTAGATACTTGTTATCGTTCACCAGCATAAGTAACGAATTATTTTTATCTTTATGTTGTTTTAAAAGTAATCAAGATTCTCTCTTTTCATTCAGACACTGCAGAAGAATGTGAAGAATAACATCTTTGTGGAAAAGCAAGCAAAAAGAAAGAAAATGTCTTTTCCATTTATGGATAGATGATAATGAAGAAAGAGGCATTTGTATTCGACTTTACAAAAGCATTTTACACTTCTACTAAATACTTTTGATTAAAAAAAATCAGCAATTTATAGCCATCATAGCAAAAAAAGTAGATAAATAAAAAGTTTCGTAGCTTATAAAACCACAAGTAAACAATGTATTGACAAATCTAGTGATGTTTTCACTCTTTAGTTTGTCAACATAGATCAAAGCTATTTATGTCAATGTATATTTGATTTTGTTCATGCTTTACATGGTCATTTCCCCCATTTTCTTTGGTTTTTCACTTGGCATTCAATATCCATTTTGGAACCAGACTAATTCAAATTTGTGATGACAAGTCCAAAGCTCCCTACTAAAAAGAGCTCAATCTCAATTCCCAAGATTCAAATCCGAAACTTCTGGTTAAGAACAGATGGTACTTATCACATCACCCACCACAACCTTGGTGGTTGGTCATTTTCCTTTTTCCAAGAACATCCACTAGGGAAAGGAATCATTGGGTTTATCCTTTCCATCTTTATCCTCAAACAGCTATTTTTAAACAACTAAAGGCAAGAGAATAAATTAAAGGGGTTTGCTTCTCCAATGGAGATAGCAGCTTCACAGAGAATATATATAAATACTATTGGCAGGACATTTGCATCTTTAAAACACAATGCACAAATAGGCTACAAACTGAAAAGATACAAATAGGAGTGTACTTGTATAATTTCGAGGAACTGATCATATAGCCAAAAATAAGCTGTTGAAAACACAGAATATTCGTATTCTCTCACTAACAAAGGAACTCAAATTATTCATTACACTATTCTTGATAATTTTCTTATTGACAACACGACTAAATAAGCAACAACCACATACAGTAGGAAGTTCTAAACACAGGCTAGGAACAGGACTCTAAATTCTCCGTCTAGACTATGTAACCACCATATTATTATAACCCTTTGTATCCTTGCCTACAAAATTATCAGAAGAATGAGATAAATACTGGAGCTTCTCTTCATTATTCAGAAATTCTGATCTCAACTCCCAATAGGTCCTTTACTTGCTCATACGCCACGAAAGCAATAGATATTGAAGGAACAACCTGAACAACACAGCACCGTCAGGATGAAATCAAGAAAACTGACATGAACAAAAAGTTATTATGAAAAAGGAAATAAAATCCTAGTAACTCGATAGGTCAGAAAAGAGGACCGTAACAGCCTCTTTACAGAAACATACGGAGAAGGTTCCATTCAGTATATGTTCACTCCAACCATAGCTCGCACTGGTAAGGAACGATTTTTTTATAACTGAGAATCCCCAAGGGTTAGTGACGCACAATTTGAAACTCACGGATCATAGGCACGCCCCTCTACATTGACAGGGAAAGATTTCATGCTCAGGGTATCCCCTTAATTTTATTTGTCTTGGATCAGTATTCAGTGGCAACAAATTATTAGAGAAGAGCAGTTCTCAAATTATACTAATTAACTGAAGCATATCAATATTCCATCTCTATGTGATGCTTGATACTTTTTACTAAGCATAAGAAACACTAAACTTGTTTGAACTATCCAACTCAATGTTCTACAAAGTATCAGATATCCTCCAGGATGTGGAATTTAATTTGCCCGTGCAAATACGTCTCAATAAAAGATGTCCTAGTCTGATTTGGCAAGATTATCAAAGTAAAAAAGCCGATAGTTGATGATACACATAATTACACAAGTTAGTATTTGGGAACCCATAATTAACAATGTCTCCATCAATGATAATGGGAAAAACATTTTAGTGTAGAAGTGCATACAATACACAAGACAACAATGATATAAAGTATGTCTTATCAGAAGCAAAATTAATGTCTACTCAGAAACAGTAAATTTTATTTAAGCAAGTAAACACTCAATTGCAACACTACAGTATAGTAAGTGAAGAGGTGCTCACAACTCCAAGAACTTAAGCAACTAATAAAACATATCACGGGACTTGGTTCAAATAACCAAAACAGGAAGGATAAAAGGCTGTACGTGAACTGGAAGGCTAAATTGCTTGGACTCAGGTGTGGGTACCCGATACGGGTGTGGATCTAGAGGTCAAAACCTTTATAATCTAAAATATAAGATTCAGATACAGGCAAGGTATTCCAAGGAGAAATATTGATCAAGAGGAGAATCCTAGGAGATAAAAGGAAAAGGAATGACATAGACATTTCTATATACAAGTTATTCTATTTTCTTCAATTTCACCTTAGCTTTCATTTTGATTACAGAATCGTAGGTATATCTCCCGAAGTTCTCCATTAACTTTGGTCAAAGTACCCAAATTCGGTAAGGATCCCACACCCATGTCATGTTGACACAGGTGCGGCATCAAAAGTGAAGTGTGTGAGTAACTTAGCTGGAAGGTAACAATATTGAAAAACAAGACTAACCTTCACTGAATTGGGCACTAAACCCTTGTACAAGGCTCTGACACCCTCATACTTTACAGTTTTCCTGAAAGCATCAATCATTCCAGTATATTCGAGGGGAGCCTTGCTCCTCCCATCACCAGTAACAATAGATGAAGCATGACTCCATCCAACCATCTGCATCCTTCTGCGAATAACATCAAGAGGGTAGGCAACAGTTTGTCCAACTGTTCCTGCAGCAGCTCCACATGCCAGCCTTGTAACAACCCCAAGCTCAGAATTATCAACAAGACCAAATGGTTTTGTTTTGACCAACCAGTCTTTTAAAGATTCATATACAGCAAAATTAAGCCCCACATATGGAATCTGCAAACACCAAATAAAATGATAAGCATTGGCAAGAACGATAAGAACTCCCCACTAGTGTTATGTTTTCTTCTCTTTTCCTTTTTTTTTTCTAGATAGGTTCCTTCCTTTTCCTTTCATTAAAGATTCAGGGAGAAGGGGATTGATCTTTAACCTTATCCATAGAAAAATTGGGCTGTAATACTAATTAGCTAATTGACTGTTGGTTTATGTTATTCACCTTGAAAAGAGAATGGAACTTTTATTTCTTCTTCATGGACAACTTCTCAAATGAAGACAACAATGCATTTCAAGAATATGATTGCCAAATTAATTCACGTATCTTTTTCTTCATAGAAAACATTGAAAGTGGAGGTCTCTATTATGATTTACGATTAAATCTAGTGAGCATGGTTATTAAATTATCACAAGTACTGGTAACCAGCTCCTTTGATCCAGGGAACGAGAACTTACAACTCCTATGACAGAAGGAGTCCATCCTTTATACAAAGCTCGTGGACCCTCCTCGCGAAGCACAGTTGACAGTGCATGAAACATTCCTCTGTATTGATAAGGAGAGTTCTCTGTCTGCAGAGCAGAGAAGAGGATTTTAGAAGGCACCTTCGCAAAATAATACCCAGAGGAATAAATCAAAACTCATAGCATTTATTCAAAAGGATTCACAAAATTACCTGCACAGTGAGTCTTCCTCGCACCATATCCATTGGGTAAGTTGCAGACATGGCAATTATGCCAGCACAAGCACCAGCTCCAAGACGTAATAGTGGAGTGAGCTGAGCGTCCTCTGTCGTAAAGGAAGATGAAAGAGTCAAACAATGCATTTCCATTTTCTTGTTAAACTTGAATGTAATAGTTTTGCATATAAAGAACAAAACAAGCAAAATCATGCAATTGCTTCATCAACTAAATGCAGACATCTTAGAAAGAACCTTTATCAGATGATAGTTTGTCTAAGAGAGCACGGTATGTGCAGATGAGTCCAGCAATTTAATGCACACATAGAGTTAGGGGATTGAAATGCCTTGGGAGCTTTTGTGATCAGCCGATCCTCCTACCTAGGGGAATTTCTCAGTTTTAGATATGAAACTACGCATCCATTTGGTTATAGCCTTATGAATCTTTTACTTCCAGTGCATTAAATTGTTGGTTATAGCCTAGGGAAACTACACATCCATTGGGTTATAGCCTTATGGATCTTTTACTTCCATTGCATTTTATTCTTAATTAAATTTGCATTGGATCTGCAAGATTGCAAGTCTTTTGAGACGACTTCCCTGCATGTAATTCTACCTTCTCCCCCTTTTTTAGCACCTTGTGCAACATCTATCAATTGTTGCATATAGAGGTCTATTCACGACAAATGTCCTTCTAGTGCTTCTCTTATTTTATCCCCCAACAAATGATACTTGAAGCCTACTTTGGACGTGATTATTTCTAACTTTATCCAATCTTGTATGACAACACACTCATCTAAACATTCCCATTTTTACTACACTCATCTTGTGGACACGTCATGAACTAGAGACCCAGCAATTACTCCCATTTATACAGAAGTTCTTCCACTATTATAACAGAAACGCAACTAAGAAAGAAAAAGAGTTCTGCTGAGAAGGGGATTAACTACAACAGGGAAGAAAACACTGGTGAGATTACAGCAATCACTGAAATCTGGCCCCACAATCTGAGGCATTATTATGCTTGAACTTGGCAAAGGAGACTCATTTTCCACTAAATGACTACCCACAGCCCAAACTTGCATCTCTATGCTCGACAGATTGGGTTTTTACATCCAAATAGCAAATAGCCAAATACACATAATGTGAACAGCAAGGGCAATACACATAAATCAAGTGATAAACAAAGCTTTCCATTTCCAACTAGCGAAGCAAACATTAGCAGAAAATGAGTCTAAACTAGGATTGAAGGCAAAGGAGAAAGGAACTTCATAGAGGTATATGACATACAAAGCACAAGCTACAACACAGCAATATGTAATAACATCCAAAAAGACAAGAACTATTCCTAACAGTTTTCTACAACTGAGTAGTTAGGTTTCCTCCCACGACTGGACTCATCAATAAAATATCAGTCTCATTAAAATGCAAGGATGGTGAAACGAAAACAAACAGTGAAGCCCCCATAAAAAAATCCTTATTTTTTCTTCCAATGGGTGATCTCCATGACCAGTATATAACTTGAAG